GCTTGTGACCCTTGGCTTGTTGACTGACTCCGCTTCTGCTTGATCCTTAACCTGTTCGATCTGCTACTGGTTTCCAGATTGCTCATTCCCTGGTGGGGTGATCCTGAGATCTGCGACCTGGTAACAACACGCAGCCAAATCCATCTCCACCATTAGGAGGTCTGGTGAAGAATGGTTGGTGCTTAGACCCCACACCTCAGGTGAGCCTGCGTCATTCCCAGGGTGACCCGCTGGTGTACCTATCCTGCTGGTTTCAGGTAAGCCTTACACTGCTATAGCAACTGGTCTCTGAACCTGAACCTGACCCAGACCGTGACAGAAAAAAAACAAAATGTGCTTCTCTGTCTTACCCAACGTCATTTTAGGCAGACTCTCTATTCCTCGGTAAGCTCGGGCCGCACTCCACATGAATCAACGCCATCCGCTGGTAAACACACAGGCTTCATCTACAGTCCTTGCATCATAGCCACACCCACTGACGCATTTCACCCTGATTGGGCTTCATTTCCGGGTTCTATGAAACTGTTGACTTCTTTCAGAGGTTGCTGGGGGTTCATCAAGCAGTGGGTTCATTGACCTCCCATCTGATAGAGCCTGCAGAGTTCCAGGTCCAAAGATACTTCGCACAGAAAGTGTCATGGCAGCAATAATCTGTTCAGCTGTCTGACCAAAGAAACGGGGGGAGGTGGGGGGGGGGGGCAAGGCAGTCATTCTTTCCATTGACTACCAAAGAAAAGACAACATCCTGTAGACTTCACCTTCGCAACATCGCCAAGATTCGACCGTTCCTAACCACTGAGCAACTTATTCCCTCCCTCATTATATCACGCCTGGACTATTGCAACTCCCTCCTCACCGGCCTCCCTCATCGCAGGCTATCCCCTCATCAGTCTATCATGAATGCTGCTGCCAGACTCATCCACCTTACTAACCGTTCTGTATCCGCCACCCCTCTCTGCCAATCCCTCCACTGACCTCCACTCAGTGTCCTCCACCCCTCTCTGCCAATCCCTCCACTGGCCTCCACTCAGTGTCCTCCACCCCTCTCTGCCAATCCCTCCACTGGCCTCCACTCAGTGTCTTCCACCCCCATCTGCCAATCCCTCCACTGGCCTCCACTCAGTGTCCTCCACCCCCATCTGCCAATCCCTCCACTGGCCTCCACTCAGTGTCCTCCACCCCCATCTGCCAATCCCTCCACTGGCCTCCACTCAGTGTCCTCCACCCCTCTCTGCCAATCCATCCACTGGCTTCCATTCAGTGTCCTCCACCCCCTCTGCCAATCCCTCCACTGGCCTAAACTCAGTGTCCTCCACCCCTCTCTGCCAAACCCTCCACTGGCATCCACTCAGTGTCCTCCACTCCTCTCTGCTAATCCCTCCACTGGCCTCCATTCAGTGTCCTCCACCCCTCTCTGCCAATCCCTCCACTGGCCTCCAAGTGTCCTTCACCCCTCTCTGCCAATCCCTCCACTGGCCTCCACTCAGTGTCCTCCACCCCTCTCTGCTAATCCCTCCACTGGCCTCCATTCAGTGTCCTGCACCCCCCTCTGCCAATCCCTTCACTGGCCTCCATTCAGTGTCCTCCATCCCTCTGCCAATCCCTCCACTGGCTTCCAATTGCCCAACAGATAAAATTCAAAACACTAACACTGACGTACAAAGCCATTCATAATACAGCCCCAAACTACATCACCAATCTTGTCTCTAAATACCACCCAAACTGTCCTCTCCACTCCTCGCAAGACCTTCTACTCTCTAGCTCCCTTTTCTCCTCCTCCCATGCTCGTCTCCAGGATTTCTCCTGGGCTTCCCCAATCCTCTGGAACTCCCTACCTCAAGCTATCAGGCTATCGCCTACCCTGCTCACTTTTAGGCGCACTCTGAAAACTCATCTCTTCAGGGAAGCCTACCCCGACCCTGGCTAACTACTGAAATCCCCCACTCCCCCCACCACTCCATCCCCCACAGCTATCTCCTCCTGTACCACCATCCCCTCCCTCCTGATTGTAAGCTCCAGGATCAGGCCCTCTAATCCCTCTTGTATTGGTGCTGTACTGTCTCCCATTATCATGTACAGCGCTGAGCAAACTGTCGGCGTTATATACGTCCTGTATAATAATAATAATAATCCTTCGCACTGACCTCAGATGAATTCATTGTAGCAGGGATTCCCTGACACCCGATAGTTCTCTGAACGGGTTCCTCTGGGGTGAGCAGAATGAGAGGCTTCTCTAATCAATGATTATATATGTACACTAAAATAATTGTTACTTCATTGCACTAAAATAATTGTTACTTTGCACTAAAAATATTTGTTACATTGTATTTGATTTTGTTTCGGCAGATTCCTTTATTGTAAAACGGTCAAATAGTCGCATTGCGATTCACGCAATAAAAAACCAACAAGTTTATTCGGTAACTTCTGGATGCAATCATTTACCTGCATCACGCACAGACGTCTCTCTGCTCTCCCAGTCCTCCATGCAGCCGTGTTTCCAGGACACCCTCACAGCAGATCCTGGATGATGGAAGAAGCTCCCAGGACATTTATATTCACTATGGACACTATAGGTGCCATCAGCGTTCTGAGATGTTCTGTTTGGTTGTGAAGTCTTCTTGTCATTCCATTTCATCTGGATATCGCTGGGATAAAATCTCTCAATATCTAGTGAGCACAACACCTCTCCACAGTCAGTCACAGACAGTTTTATAGGACCGGGTGCTCTGGGTTTTGCTGGAATAAAGTGAGAAATGGTCACTAGAACAAACCCCCAGAAATCGGTGTATCCAAACAGAGGTCTCCATTGGTTTGTGCACAACAATAGATGTACAGTCAGGTCCATAAATATTGGACATGGACACAATTCTAACATTTTTGGCTCTATACACCACAATGGATTTGAAATGAAAGGAACAAGATGTGCTTTAACTGCAGACTGTCAGCTTTAATTTGAGGGTATTTACATACAAATCAGGTGAACGGTGTAGGAATGACAACAGTTTGCATATGTGCCTCCCACTTGTTAAGGGACCAAAAGTAATGGGACAATTGGCTTCTCAGCTGTTCCATGGCCAGGTGTGTGTTATTCCCTCATTATCCCAATTACAATGAGCAGATAAAAGGTCCAGAGTTCATTTCAAGTGTGCTATTTGCATTTGGAATCTGTTGCTGTCAACTCTCAAGATGAGATGCAAAGAGCTGTCACTATCAGTGAAGCCATCATTAGGCTGAAAAAAAAAACAAAACACAGGGTAAACCCATCAGAGAGATAGCAAAAACATTAGGCGTGGCCAAAACAACTGTTTGGAACATTCTTAAAAAGAAGGAACGCACCGGTGAGCTCAGCAACACCAAAAGACCCGGAAGACCACGGAAAACAACTGTGGTGGATGAGCGAAGAATTCTTTCCCTGGTGAAGAAAACACCCTTCACAACAGTTGGCGGATCAAGAACACTCTCCAGGAGGTAGGTGTATGTGTGTCAAAGTCACCAATCAAGAGAAGACTTCACCAGAGTGAATACAGAGGGTTCACCACAAGATGGAAACCATTGGTGAGCCTCAAACACAGGAAGGCCAGATTAGAGTTTGCCAAACGACATGTAAAAAAGCCTTCACAGTTCTGGAACAACATCCTATGGACAGATGAGACCGACATCAACTTGTACCAGAGTGATGGGAAGAGAAGAGTATGGAGAAGGAACTGCTCATGTCCTCAGCATACCACCTCATCAGTGATCATGGTGGTGGTAGTGTCATGGCGTGGGCATGTATGGCTGCCAATGGAACTGCTTCTCTTGTATTTATTGATGATGTGACTGCTGACAGAAGCAGCCGGATGAATTGTGAAGTGTTTCGGGAATATTATCGGCTCATATTCAGCCAAATGCTTCACAACTCATTGGACGCTTCACAGTGCAGATGGACAATGACCCAAAGCAGACTGCAAAAGCAACCAAAGAAGTGGAATGTTCTGCAATGGCCAATCACCTGACCTGAATCCGATGGAGCATTTCACTTGCTGAAGACAAAACTGAAGGGAAAATGCCCCAAGAACAAGCAGGAACTGAAGACAGTTGCAGTAAAGGCCTGGCAGAGCATCACCAGGGATGACACCCAGCGTCTGGTGATGTCTATGCGTTCCACACTTCAGGCTGTCATTGACTGCAAAGGATTTGCAACCAAGTATTAAAAAGTGAAAGTTTGATTTATGATTATTATTCTGTCCCATTACTTTTGGTCCCTTAACAAGTGGGAGGCACCATATGCAAACTGTTGTAATTCCTACACCGTTCACCTGATTTGGATGTAAATACCCTCAAATTAAAGCTGACAGTCTGCAGGTAAAGCACATCTTGTTTGTTTCATTTCAAATCCATTGTGGTGTATAGAGCCAAAAATGTTAGAATTGTGTCCACGTCCCAATATTTATGGACCTGACTGTATTCATTCTTCTTGTGCATTGTTGGCGTATCTACACCATGGAAACCTCCATTTGTAAAGTTCCTGCATCCTTCGCACAAAGCTTGAACTCAAACATGACAATACAGTGTGCCGCCACAAGCAGCCTGTTTATTACCTGCCATTTTGGTGGTATATTCTATTTCCTTTCTTGGTTTTGGGCTACGGTAGTGCAATATACTGTATTCCATTCCCAGCCTCACCATGCAGCCAGGTTAAGATCTTCTGTACTGTGTGTGCCAAGCAGCAATAAAACCACATTGAATCTAACTTCTATGCCTTCTTGGCGAGTTAAACTGCCTGTTGATTTTGTCCAGTCAGCAGGTTGCCTTATTCTTGATACAGACGGAGTCTCAGAAGGTATGTCTTTTGGATAAAGAAACAATCAAATACTTTTAGCCCTTCTTAACCACCTCCTGTCTGGCTGTTGTATATAAACGGCCAGACGGTGGCAGTGCAGGGGCGGGTGGACGTTTCTAAATGGCCTCCCCGCCCCCTGCTTGTGCGCACTCCCTGGGACCACAGAGCACCGCGATCCGGTGCCCACTGTGTCCTCCAGACACAGTGGAACACCGATCATCGTACAGCACCTCTGTGTGAGGTCCCGATCATGTAGTGTGACATCATTGCTTACTACGTGTGAAATCTGTGAATGATCACAGAGGTCACATGGTACAGGGCCATTCACAACAGCCTTGTACCATGTGACAAGCTGTGACCAATCACAGATCACACAGTATTTCTCAATGGCTGCAGGAATGCAGCCAGAGAAAGAGAAATGATTGCTTTTACATCCTATATGGGTGTTAAAAAAAAAAAAAAATCTTCATCGCCCCCCACAAGTAGTACAGTGTCACCATGGTAACACTGCACTGCTAGGGTGACAGTATGTAAAAAAAAAAAAAACATAATAATATAAAAATGTAAAAAAAAGTTTAAAAATTATAATTTTTGGTTATAAACTAATTTGGGTTATTTTTTTTTTTACTAAAGAGATAAGTGAATAAATTTTGGCCAAGATTTATGGAGAAATATTATTTTTTGCAAAACTTTTTAAGAAAAACACTTTTTTTCAAAATTTTTGGACCCGGACAGGAAGGCGGGGGGGGGAAGGTGTCCAGACTGAGGAAGGGGGGGAAGTGGTCCGGACTGAAGGGGGAAAAGTGTCCGCGGACAGGAAGGGGGAAAAGAGTTCCGGACTGGGAAGGGGGGGGGTAAGGTGTCAGACTGGAGAGGGGGGGGAAAGTGCCGACTGGAAGGGGGGGGGAAGGTGTCCAGACTGGAAAGGGGGGCAAGTGTCCCGGACTGGAAAGGGGAAAGTGTCCGACTGGAAGGGGGGTAAAGTGTCCGGCTGAAGGGGGGAAAGTGTCCCGGACTGGAAGGGGGAAGTGTCCCGGACAGGAAAGGGGTGGAAAGTGTCCGACCTGGAAGGTGGGGTGAAAGTGTGTCCGATCTGGAAGCTGGAAAGTGCCGGTGACTGGAAGGGGGGGAAAGTGTCCGTAACTGGAAGGGGTCTTGGGAAAGTGTCCGTACCAGGAAGGGTGGGTAAAAGTTTCCGGCGTGGAAGGGGTGGAAAAAATGTCCCCGGCCCGGGAAGGGGGGGGGGGTGTCCGGACTGGAAAGGGGGGGAAACTCCCGGGCTGGGAAAAAAGGGGGGAAAAACGTTTCCGGGGGTGGAAGGGGGGGGGGGGGGGGAGCGGGGCCGGGCTGGAAGGGGGGGGGAAACGGGGCGCCCGGGCCGGAAAAGGGGGGGGGGGGAATGTCCGAAAGGGGGGGGGAATGTCCGGAAATGGAAGGGGGGAAAGTGTCCGGGGCCCGGAAAAGGGGGGGGGGGGGTGGTCCCGGAATTGGGGGGAAGGGGGGAAAATGTCCGGGTGGAAGGGGGGGGAGAAAGTGTCCGGACTGGAAGGGGGGGGGGGGGAAATGTCCGGACTGGAAGGGGGGAAAGTGTCCCCGGGTGGAAGGGGGGGGGAAATGGGCCAATGGAAAGGGGGGGGGGGCGGGGACTGGAAGGGGGGGGGGAAAAAGTCCGGGGCGGAAGGGGGGGGGCAGCGTCCCCCGGGCTGGAAAGGGGGGGAAAAACGTTTTCCCGGGCCGGAAGGGGAAGGGGGAAGTGTTTTGGACTTTTAAAGGGGGGGGGAAATGTCGACTGGGGAAAGGGGGGGAAAGGGTCTGGGGCTGGAAAGGGGGGGGGAAAATGGTTTTGGAAGGAAGGGGGGGGAAAAGGTTGGGGCTGGAAGGGGGGGGTGTTGGACTGGAAGGGGGGGAAAAAATGTCCCCGGGGCTGGGAAAGGGGGGGGGGGTGGGCCGGACGGGAAGGGGGGGAAAGTTTTCCGGACTGGAAGGGGGGGAAGTGTCCGGCCCGGAAGGGGGGGAAAGCTCCGGACTGGAAGGGGGGGGGAGAAAGCTCCGGACTGGGGAAAGGGGGGGGGGAAAACGTCCGGGCTGGGGGGGGGGGGGAAAGGTCCGGACGGAAGGGGGGGGGGAAAAGGCCTCCGGGGTGGAAAGGGGGGGAAAGCGTCCCGGGCTGGAAAGGGGGGGGGGGGGGGGAAGTGTCCGGGGCCGGAAGGGGGGGGGGAAAAAGGGCTGGAAACCGGAAGGGGGGAAAAAGGGGGACCGGAAGGGGGGGAAAAAAGTCCGGGACCGGAAGGGGGTGAAAGGGGGCCCCGGGGGCCTGGGGGGGGAAGGGGGGGGGGGGAAAGTGTCCGGATGGAAGGGGGGAGAAAGTGGGCCCGGGCTTTGGAAAAAGGGGGGGGGAAAATGTCCGGGGCTGGGAAAGGGGGGAAAGTGGCCGGACTGGAAAGGGGGGGGGGAAATGTCCGGACTGGAAGGGGGGGAAAACAATTTCCCAAAGTGGGAAAGGGGGGGGGAAAACCCTCCGGACTGGAAAAGGGGGGGGAAAATGCCGGACTGGAAAAGGGGGGGACAAACGTCCGGGGGGAAGGGGGGAAAAACGTCCGGGAAAATGGAAGGGGGGGGGGAAAATGTCTGGACTGGAAGGGGGGGAAAGTTTTTTCTGGGCTGGAAAGGGGGGGGAAAATGTTGGACTGGAAAGGGGGGGGAAAATTTTTTGGGTTTGGGAAGGGGGGGGGGAAAAATCTGGACTGGGAAGGGGGGGGGGAAATGTCTGGGAAATGGAAAAAGGGGGGGAAAAAAGGGCCGGGGGTGGAAGGGGGGAAAGTGTCCCCCGGAAATGGGGTGGGGGGGGAAAATGTCCCGGACTGGGAAGGGGGGGGAAAAAGGGCCGGACTGGAAGGGGGGGGAAAACGTCCGGCGGGGGGGGGGGGGAAAGTGTCCGGACTGGAAGGGGGGGAAAAATGTCCCGGAAATGGAAGGGGGGAAAGGTTTTCCGGAACCCCGGAAAGGGGGGAAAAGTGTCCCCCCCTGGGGGGGGGGGGGTGTCCGGCCCGGAAGGGGGGAAAGGTCCGGGGCGGAAGGGGGGGAAGTGTCCGGACTGGGGAAGGGGGGGGGGAAAACCCTTTCCCGGGCGGAAGGGGGGAAAAACGTCCCGGGCTGGAAGGGGGGGAAAGCGTCCCGGGGTGGGGGGGGGGGGGGAAAAAGGGCCGGGGTGGAAGGGGGGGGGGGGGCCGCTTTCCGGGGCTGGAAGGGGGGGTTTAAAAGGCCGGGCTTTGGAAGGGGGGGGGGGGGGAAGGGGGGGGGGAGGAGGTTCCGAGAGAGAGGAAGGGGGAGTCGCGGAGGGAGGAATGTTCCGGACCCCGGGAAAGGGGGGGGAAAAAGTGTCCGGGCTGGAAAAGGGGGGGAAAATTTTCCGGACTGGGAAGGGGGGGGGGGCGTCCGGACTGGGGAAGGGGGGGAAAAAATTTCCGGGACTGGAAAAAGGGGGGGAAAGTGTCCCGGGCCGGAAAAGGGGGGGGAAAGGTCCGAAATGGAAGGGGGGGAAAAGCGGGGCCGGGACTAGAAAAGGGGGGGGCAGCGGTTTCCCGGGCTGGAAGGGGGGGGAAAGGTCCGGCGGAAAGGGGGGTTTAAAGCGTCCCGGCCGGAAGGGGGGGGGGGGGGCAGTTTTTCCCGGGCCGGAAAAGGGGGGGGGGAAATGTTTTTTTGGGTGAAGTGGTTTTAAATAAATACACAAAAATAATTTTAAAAGTGAAAACCCACCGTAAAGACATCGGCTTTGGGAAAGTCTTTTCCCTTTTTCGTTTCCATCGCGGAATCCTAAGGAGATGGATATTTTTTTGGTTTTCAGAGATGGAAGGGTTAAACGTTAGAGAGGAGGTGACACCCCTGAAGCCCCCTTTTTTATCAAAATACTTCCTTCTTTCTCTGTGAGCCCATAGCCAGGGACCGATGAGAGGACCCATGAGAGGGACCGATGAGAGGCCCATGAAAAGGCCGATGGAGGACCGAGAGCCCCTTTTCAGTGCCCTTCCCCCTATTTCACAAATATTTTACCGCTGCTTTCCCCCCCCATCCAAAGGACTTGGGCCTTCCGTAAGTATGAGCAGGCAGTATAAAAGGGGCTTCTCCCCTAACCATGTCTTTGGGGCCCGGATTTGTTCAAAAATGAATGTTGGAGCCTCTGGGAAAAATAAGAAATATAAAAAATGGAAAACTGAAGAGCATTTAGTGCCAATGCCAGAGACTATCTATGGTTTCCTTATATTAGCGTACATTTGTAGGTTCTGAAAGACATCCGCTGCTGTCACAGGATTCGCACATGACTAGTGGCACCCGAGATAGGTTCATCCAGACCACTACACCACCGTTACCTTCATACCAATCCCTTTACTTACTATATTAAGAAAACACAAACCAAATTGTGGAGTTACAAGGCAACACGACCTTTTATTAACCAATCAAGTTTAAAAAACACATCAACCATTCCTGTATAACAGAAAACATAAAGGTTGTCGTTGGCCTTGGAAGAGACCCCAAAGACGATCCCGAAATGGCACCTGCGGACAACCATATTCCACTAGGCCTGCCAGCGCACCCATACCAGCTCGAAGACGAACCATTACCGTCCCTCAGTGGCGTGCACCACCACCTTTCCAGTTAAACCTCGGTTTAAACTGGGAATGTGTCTCACGATCACAGATGGGTCTCCACACCATTTGTGTACCTCCAAGATAAAAACCGCACTACCACCGATCAACCACCCACCGCCCAGGAAACCAAAATAACACCCCCCCCCCCTCGGAAGGGAACACATCAGTAACCCAAACAGCGGAGGGCCGGGGAGGGGAAAGCTCTCTTCAATCCTACGTCCAGCTCCAACTGAACCGCCCCCTCCCCAGGACACCCCCACCCTCAGGTGCAGAAGACCCCACATACACTCTCCTCTACCAGCCAGATGCCCCAGCCAGCTCATCCTTTACCACCCCTAATACTATCATTAACCCTCACACGTCTTTTTTCCCTCCCACTCTGGGCCTAGTCATGCCTGCCCTGCGCTAATTCTTTTCTTCTTTTATCGCGCTGGCGGGCATTTCTTGACTGTATTATCTGTCCGACATCTGTAAAGCTCAGCAATAGATTTACCATGTCATTCTATAGACTTTCATACATCTTTTGCCGAGTATTACCAGCTATAAGGATACTTTTCACACTCAGGATTTTTTGAAGAGTTTTTTTATTTACAAAAAGTGCCTGAAAAGCTCAAGAAAACGGCTTCCCTATGTATGCGAATGTATATCTACGTATGTTTTCACACCCAGCGTTGCTCTTGTAAAAACTCCTGCTTGCAGCATCTTTGGGGCATGTTTTGGTGAGTTAAAAAAAAACGCCCCTGTCAAGAGAAAACCAGAGAGCACGCAGAGGCAGATTGCACGGAACCCAACGTGTGGC